GTGGAATCGAAAATTCACTCAACTGTCAGTCATAATTCGAACTAAAGTAAGGATTATGATCAGTCGGTTTTGCTTTGCTAGTAACGCAACCCATAATAATAATAATAATAATAATATTTATAGAGGGAGCCCAACTCGCCTTAGAAAGGCGGTTTTCAGCGGTTTTGGGGCCCTCATGCATTAATCTAACTAATTAATTAATAATTACGAAAAAGTAAAATATGTTTACAAGTAAAACAAATTTAAAAATTTAAAATCTTAAAATCGATTATACAAAAAAAAAAAAACATCAAGGTTTAAAATTAGCTGAGATCTTTTAAAAAGTTTTTAACTTGGATTTAAAAATAGATAAAATATTACACTCTTTTAAATCATTTGGAAGGCTGTTCCAGTCTTTCGCGGCGTGAAAAATAAAAGTTTGTTTACCCCAGTTTGTTCTGGGTAGGGGTAAGCGAATATCATTGGAGCGTCTTGTATTATATGAATGAACAGCTTGACTTTTAGTAAAATTAAAGCTGAAATCGGTTTCTCCAATAAGACACTTGTGGATTGCAATGCAGCGATGAAAAAAACCTTCTTGTGGACAGTGACTTCAAATCTAGACTTTTCAGTGCTTCAGTTGACGAGCTTCAGGGTGGTTGCCCCAGCATAACTTTAGCAGCTTTATTCTGTAGAATCTGTAATTCTGACATGATGGTGTCATTGTTTTTGTCCCCCATATAACGTCTCCGTAATCAAAAAAAGAGGGAGGATTAGGGCATTGTACAAGGCAACTCTAGCTTGTAGCGGCAATAGATTCCTGATTCTCCTAATTAGGCCTATTCTCTGATTAATCTTCATGCTGATAGCATCGACGTGATCTGCCCAGGACATAGACTGTTGAAGCGTTACGCCTAGGTATTTGAATGATTGTGTTCTTTCAATGCTAGTGCCCTCTACTTTAACCGAAATGCCTTGAATACGATTCAGTTTCTGAGGACTTCCAAAGATAACAAAATTACATTTGGATATATTTAGTGTCAGGAGATTTCTAGAGAACCACTCAGACACTGTCCCCAAGTCAGCATTGATGTGATGTTCAAGATCACTGATGCTTTTGGATGAGTAATAGAGTACTGTATCGTCTGCATAAAGAATAATATCGCTTGCCAGGTGACAGTCCGGAAGATCATTCACGTAAATTAGAAACAATAAAGGTCCCAATATACTTCCTTGGGGTACTCCAATAGGCATTTCGGTAGATGCAGAGTGAGCATCTCCAACTGATGTAATTTGAGATCTGTTTGTGAGGTACGATCTAAACCACTGGGTGGTAGAGGTGGTAAGACCGATGTGCGTCAATTTTGCAGCAGCAGGGGATGATCCACTGTATCGAAGGCCTTAGACAGGTCAGAAAAACAGCACCTGTAAAGGAACCAGCGTCCATATTCTGGAGGATATTGTCTGTGAAATGAGATAGGGCTGTTCCAGTTGATAACTTCGGCCTGAACCCAAATTGCTTAGATGTAAGGATACCATTGTTTTTAAGATAAGCGTACAGTTGGGTGTGCACGGCTTTTTTCTAGAATTTTACTGATCGTTGGCAGCACAGTAATGGGTCTGTAATTGTTAGCATCACAGCGATCACCTTTCTTGAATAACGCTGCCACTTTTCCAAATTTCCAAAGAGAAGGAAAGGTGCGAGTTTCAGGAAAGATTAAATAATCTAGTAAGACTGGCACTGATTACTGAGGCTGAATCTTTCAGTAGACGAGCACTGATATTATCTAGGCCAATGGCTTTATTGGTTTTGAGCTGGTTAAGCTGACGAAGAACGAAGTCTTCCGTAATTGGCTCGAAAGCAAATTCATGGGGTAGATTCGAGTTTACCGGAGGCGCCGAGTACATGTGGGATCCACAAGACTTGAGCTTTTTGCGCCAATTTAGTTCCAATTGTTGAAAAGTGTTCATTCAGAATCTTGGCGATAGATTTATTGCTGGAGTATTGAACACCGTCGGCCTCAATGCAGGAGATGGGAGTTCTTTCTTTGCGAGATGTTATGTCGTTTAGAGTTTTCCATAATGCACTTGGATTAGATTTGTTTTCGGTAATAAGCTTAGAATAGTATTCCGATTTACATCTCTTTGTCTCCTTATTTACGTAGTTCTTAAGTTCCTTATAGCGTGACCAATGATTGGCAGACTTTGTTTTCAGGGCTTTACGATGGTAATAATCTCGTTGGTGCATGGCTTCAGATAGCTGTGCGTTTATCCAGGGAGAACGGACCCCTTTAATTCTTGATTTCCTCATCGGAGCATGACTATCGGCAACATGAGTAAAAAGATTGTTCCAATCATTTACCGCGGAGTCAATGTCCTGCTTGTTTAGAGCTTGGTTCCAGTCAATTTCTTTCAAGTCATTCACAAATTCCTGCTTTGAATAATGTTTGTATGACCGATATTCGATGGTTCTCCCGGGAGCCTTGGGAACACCTGATTTGATAACACAGAAGATCAAACAATGGTCGCTTAAAGGTGATGGAATAACGCCTCGGTCAATGACACGATGAGAAGTGTTAGTAAACAATAAGTCAATCAGTGTAGATGACGTTTCCGTTATCCTCGTTGATGTGTTAATTACTTGGTCAAGGTGATGAACATTTGCCACCTGGAGAAGTTTGCGCTTCTTGGCTTTATCATTGTTACCTTGTTACCTTGTTACTCTGTTACCTTGTTACCCTGTTACCTTGTTACTCTGTTACCTTGTTACTCTGTTACCTTGTTACTATGTTACCTTGTTACCTTGTTACTCTGTTACCTTGTTACCTTGATATTCTGTTACCTTGTTACCTTGCTACTCTGTTGCCTTGCTATTCTGTTTCCTTGTTACCATGTTACCTTGTTACCTTGTTACTCTGTTACCTTGTTACCCTTTTACCTTGTTACTCTGTTACCTTGTTACTCTGTTGCCATGTTACCCTGTTACCTTGTTACTCTGTTACCTTGTTACCCTGTTTACCTTGTTAATATGTTACCTTGTTACTCTGTTACATTGTTACCTTGTTACTCTGTCACCTTGTTACCCTGTTGCTTTGTTACTATGTTTTGTTACCCTGTTACCTTGTTACCTTGTTACTCCGTTACCCTGTCACCTTAATACTCTGTTACCTTGTTACCCTGTTACCTTGTTACCTTGTTACCCTGTTACCTTGTTACCTTGTTACTCTGTTACCCTGTCACCTTAATACTTTGTTACCTTGTTACCTTGTTACTCTGTTACTCTGTTACCTTGTTACCTCGTTACCCTGTTACCTTGTTACTCTGTTACCTTGTGACCCTGTTACCTTGTTACTATGTTACCTTGTTACCCTGTTACCTTGTTACCTTGTTACCTTGTTACTCTGTTTCCTTGTTACCTTGATATTCTGTTACCTTGTTACCTTGCTACTCTGTTGCCTTGCTATTCTGTTTCCTTGTTACCATGTTACCTTGTTACCCTGTTTCCTTGTTACTCTGTTACCTTGTTACCATGTTACCTTGTTACCTTGTTACCTCGTTTCTCTGTTACCTTGTTACTCTGTTACTTTGTTAACTGTGTGCTTGTTACTCTGTTTCCTTGTTTCCCTGGGACAGGGCTAATATCTTCTAGCTAAATGATGTTGCAATTTTAAAGAATCATTTTTCATTTATAATGTATACATTTATTTGTACAAGCCAGGTCGACTTAAGTTTTGATATAAAGATAATTCATTGAACTATAATTCATTCTTAGCTGAAAAGGTGTTGAAAATTCGAGATTTTAGAAACTGCAGTTATACCAATATGAAAGCACCAATATGAAAGGTAACAGGCTAACAAGGTAACGGGGTAACAAGGAAACAGAGTAACAAGGTAACAGAGTAACAAGGTAACAGGGTAACAAGGAAACAGAGTAACAAGGTAACAGAGTTACAAGGTAACAAAGTAACAAGGTAACAAGGTAACAGAGTAACAAGATAACAGGGCAACAAAGTAACAAGGTAACAGAGTAACAAGGTAACATGGTAACAGAGTAACAAGGTAACAAGGTAACAGAGTATCAAGGTAACAAGGCAACATGGTAACAGAGTAACAAGGTAAAAAGGTAACATGGTAAAAGAGTGACAAGGTAACAGAGTAACAAGGTAACGAGGTACCATGGTAACACAGTAATAAGAGCAACTCACAAAACATAGTAATAAGAGTAAGGTCTAAAAAGGTGGAAACAGTAAGCAAGCAACCATGAGACAACGGGTTCAAGTGAAGTGGGTTAAGTCGGTACAATATATGTCCCCATACATGAAGTACCCACCCACTTTGCACTAAGAGGTCACGTGACCAATGCTTCCTTTAAACAATGAGTTGGAATCTTGCTGACGCAAAAAATTGACAGAGCAGATAAAAATTATCTTACACCCGTAATTTGAGAGGGAACGTATTTAAGGGAGGTATTTTATGGTACTTTGATTTTTCAACAAAGTAGTATGATTTGCATTGGCCGCTATGTTGGAGGGCATACTCTTGCCCTCCAAGGTGGCTGCCAAAACAACGTTTTGCTTATGTCTTGTTAAGCGTTTGATAGTTACGCTCAGATGTGCTTTAAACGTTACCACATCATCCTTTCAACATTTTCCTTGAAGTTTAAGTGCAAAATTTACGTTCAGAGAAACGTAAATCATAATTTTAATAATTACATTTTGGTCACGTGACCAGGTACTAACTTACTCGTTTTAAGAAAATGGTGCGGGTTTGAAAAACCAAATCACTATTATTTTGTATGAGACATGATCTACTAATCGTTTTTCGAAGGCAAAATCATGTAACTTTCATTTTCATAAAAACGATGTCACATGGCCTTGGTGCAAATGGCCTATTACATGGGTGTTCTTGTAAAGTCACAAGTTGTACCTATTACTTGGCTTTTTGCTCTGACTGTAATAAATGAACAATTCATTATTACGTAATACATAATTTCCACTCTATTTTTTTGTTATTATAAACAGGATCCTGCAGCTTCCGAACAGTTGACAGCAAAGCGTCCGCAGGAAAATGAACCGTTCAATCAGAAATTAAAGAAACTTAGAGCGTCTGAAGTCCGTTCAACCGACCCAGATTCAAGAACTCCTCTCAGGTCGCTTGGGACAGCTTCAGCTGTAGAAAGAGTTTCTGATCAAGCTAATTACTCCCTTCAAAAAGAAGGAGAGTCGCAAGAACACGTTATCAGAAATACAGAGGAGATTGGTCACTCAAAACCAGGTAGTCAAGAGACCAGAAATGGTACAGTGTCATCTGCGCCACATTCTCTCTTGGAAGAGCTGGTGGATAATGGGCTGATGGGATATTCAACGCCTGAACAGAATTATTTAAGTAATGTGTCCAATGCAACGCCAATGATGCAATTAAATCAATCATTTCATCCAGGAAATACAGACATGGGTGGAGATTTGTCAAAGCACGACGGCTTTGTCCCTTTTCCAGGACCTAGCGACATAAGCTCCCCAACTTTTTTGTTGGATGTGTCACAACAACCTCTTGGTGTGAGAGCACAGGTGAGTAAAAGCATTGTTAAAGGGGAGGAAAAAGTATCAATATGCTATTGCTGGCGAGCGTTATGCGAGCCAGCACACTATTCTGTACAATAGCGGGAAAAAGGCAAAATGTGTCGTATGTAAGATCAGAAGCATGTGCAGTCAATTGGTTTTCTTATTATCCGGGTTATTGGCCATTTAGACTATTCACAGTCTTCTATTTTTCCGTAAGATCGTCGAGATCGAGCGCTTCGCCTTATGGGCTGCCATCTTGCATGAGTGTCAAAACTACCTAGGGGGAGGGGGCGGGGGCGGGGGCGGGGGCGGGGTCGGTTTGGGAGGAAGCGAGAAAAGTAGAGGGACTGTAATAACATCACTGCTCGCGTTCAGGAGGTGTGACAGGAATTTCACGCCTTTTACCATTCATTAATTAAGAAACATGCCAGACACCTTTAGCATCGATTACGCGTGTTTACAAATATCTCCTTTCGAAACAGTGATTTTATAATGTTTCTGGGCCATTCCTCGAAATAAAATCGGCAAACATGCACAAGAAAACATTTTCCTAATCAAAATACCAAAAATCCTTCGTGTGTTTGCGCAAGATGTGCCTTATCACGCCTTATGGTATGAAAACGTACGTTTAATGGAAACGTCGACTTGTCGATGTCGGCAACTTAAACTAAACCCTTGTCAACGCAAATCAACATTTATTGTCTAATGACCAATCAAACGCCTGCGTTGCTGGTACAAGGCGCTCCTTAACGCGAGCTGCAGTGATCTTATTACAGTCCCTCTATTTTTCTCGAACCCCCCCTCCCCGCAGAGCTATAATCCCCGACGCCCACCCCCTCGGTACATTTGAAATTCAAGATAGCCGTGACGGTAAGACGCGGTGTATCTAAACGATCTCACGAGAAAATAGGGGACTGTGAACAGTCTATTGGCCATTTCCACATCTCCCATAATACACTTTGTTTGCGTGTTTCTTGCACCCAACACATGCAAGCTGTTTTGTAGACGCATTGTTTACATTTCTCTGGGGACGATTGAAAGTCCCAAGGGAAGATGAAGACAATGCCTATGACACACGCAAACAAAGTGTATTATGGGAGATGTGGAAATGGCGAATTCACTCCTGCGCTATGACAAAAAAAGATTTACTCGGTCAACGTTTAGAATGATACATGCACTGTGTAGTGCTAGTAACCTTCGCGCGAGAGCCGAGAAAATAAAAAAAACCTCTGTTCATGCAAACTCACAAGGTCACGTTTCACATTATCACGAGCTTAGGTGTCGTGTTTAGCCTGTCAACGCTTCCTTCTAAACTGTCTCGCGCGAAAATAATCGGAAGTTGCAAATTGCAGGTTTCTCTTTGATTGGCTGATTTAATTGGGATCAGCTAAGGTGACAAAAGTGGGCGGCATTCGAAAAATCACAATCGATGCTAAGTGTGCCCTCGTAGTTGTTATTTCCTGTGGTTTGTGGCAGCCAGAAAGGTGACAATTTTCGACTAATGTATCGTATTATTATTGGTCCTTTTGACATCACCACCGTGGCCTGTGTACAGACCCCCCCTTCCCCTACTGAGGGGAGGGGGTTCTGTACACTGGCTGCACCGCCGTGGGTCAATTTTGGTTGGCGTAGATCGACGGTTGCCTGCGTGCAACAAAGGAAATAGGAGACGTCTGCACGCAGGCAAGTCGTCGGAAGAACCAGAACAATGGACTGGTAAGAGGTGCTTTATTTTTTTCTCCTACCCTTGTCTCGCGCTTCGCCCAAAATGCCGTGTTCGCCTCGCTTGGCTCATAAAGCGCCAGTTATGCAGTCTAGTCCGTTGAGGCGAAAGAAAAGCTTGAAACTATATGGATTCAGAATGTGTATCGCTCTTTGAAGCTACGTGTAACCCCTGGCTAACCATTCAACGATAAAATTATTTGAATGTCGCGTTGACAATCGCCTGCTATACAGGCTACCGTCAGGTCCAATTGTTTTTTAAACCTTCAAGCACAAGGTCCAGAAGAGTTTCGTGTGAATAAATGAATTACTTATTTAAAGTCTCACCTCGAAAAATGTCTGTACCTATCACTTAGCACGATTAATTAGCTTCATGGGATCTTTATGAATCTACTGTAAACGATTTCTTCGCTTCTTATCTGACCCAGATCGACCTTGTTGTTCGCCATTTTGAAACTATCAAGAACCGCAAGCCCATATCCTCGCTGGCGTACGGCATGTCGCCCGAAGGGAGACCGAGGCACCAAGTGCCGATCTTGCAAGCCCTCAGTCTCTTGGTTTGCGCTATATAGAATCTCTAACGAAACTGTAACGCGATCAAAATAACCCCTTTTTTTCAGAGGTTTTCGACGGGTTTTGATGTTCTAACGACAAACACATCTCCTCTGGACCTTGTGCTTCAAGTCGAAGGAAAATTTCTCGAGCACCACATTAAACCCGTTAATTAATATCCATGCGTCGATATCTTCATACCTCCAGTCGGAAATCGACAAAAATTCTTGACAAGCAGCCAAACACATAAAAATATCTTGTCTTCCTTGGGATCCGTCACTTAATTGTCCGTGACCTCGATGAAATTATTTCCATAGGCAGATGAAGAAATCTAAAAAATATAAACAAGCAATTAGTAAAAACTCAGGCCTCGTTTATCTTCTGCTTGCACTCTGGAAATTTACTCCAAGGGCTTTCCCCTTTTATACAATATACGCGAAAATAACATCTTTTGCTTTTAAAAAGGCTTGCCCACCCTTATCCCCAGGGGTCATTTTCATTTTCTTCACTTTAGTCATTTTCAAACGGTAAGTATTTGAGTGATCATACATTGGGTTTTCATCCTGCCGCAGACTCAAAACTAGCTGCGAATCACCTAACTTAGAATCACAGCTTGGAGGCACTGATCATGATCAGTGTCTTTCATGTTATGAGCTCAGACCCCGTTCACAACTAAACGTCTCTGGAAAAATTTTGATCGCTTTCACAATAGGCCACGGTGACCAAAAAAAAAGGAGAATGAAAACCATGGTGACCATATTGGTCTGCACGTGCAAACGGACACAGCATTGTTGGATGTTACATGTTGCGTCCGTTTGCACATCCTGTTGCATGTTGTTGGGAGTTGTTGCGCAAAGTTTGAAACAGGTCAAACTTTAAGCTACGTGTAAACGGACGCAACAATTCAACAATGTTGAGAGCTGTTGCGTTCGTTTGCACGTAGCTTAAGGACTTATGAGAGGTCAACTTGTAGCAAGTCTGCATATTAGTATACAAAACAATGAGACGGCGGCCATGTTGGTGTACCCCAAGATGCACAGAAATACTCAATACGGGTACTTGTGAACGAGGCCTTAGATTACCTGTTAAAGCATAATAAACATGTAATACAGGAGACTACTATCTTCTTCAGAATTTTATACACCTACTCCAAAATAAGGATAACCTAGTCAGGGTCAATTGCGGTTATTTTTAATTAGTGGAATAATTGCGTGGAAGTAATTTTAAGAAATAGATTTGTTCTTTAATTTAATTTCAATGTTTTCAAATCCTCTAATTTGGTCCTTGTCGTGATAATCGTAGGTGGCACAGCCAATGGAAATCGTCAACCAAAGCAGTCATCAAGGTATTTACTTACCAGAGAATGTAAGGATTTTTACACAATAGAACGGGGAATAACTCGGAGATTTCCTTAAAACAAAAAATAGAATAGTTTTCGCACCTTTGATGGGAAAGTGGAAAGCGCAGATAAGAATGAAATGGGATATGCTGGTTGAAGTCAAATGCAACTAGTCCCAGTTTACCCGTTTTCTCAGTCTTCGCTAAAACTCGTTATGACGACGGCTTTCACGTTTTCCCGCCAAAATGTCGCTGGTTCACGCGCGCGCACTGCTGAGCAACCTCGTTCCCAGGGTTCTCTGAGAACCCTGGGAGTGAGGTTGACTGCTTAGTATTGAAAAAATCTCGTAGTCATAGCCCGGTAGAAAAAGGTATTTTCGAGCAGAATTTGAGCAGAATAAGGGAAAATCAGCGGCACTAATGATATGCATAACGGTTGTAAGAGAAATTTAAAACTAAATAAAAAACAAATGGAAAATACCTTGTGATTAATTTGATTACTTAATAGCTACAACGCACTCACATAAAAAGTAAGATCAATTAAAATTTTGCTACGCATTACGAATATCTAGTTAGTTTTTAGGGATCAGGCCGAAGCTCTTTTCTATTGATATTTGCGAAAATAATTACGAAAATTTTTTTCCGATACAGAGCAGAATTCGAGCAGAATAAGGGTGTATGAGCAGAATTTTGAGCAGAATTAGCGATTTTTACGGGCACTGCCGGCAGGCAGAATAAGCCATTTTATGAGCAGAATTTATTCAAGCCTAGTTCTTGTCTTAGAATCTAAAGGTCACTACCTTTGGACGGTTACCGGTCATGTTGACCAGCCATCAAATTATAGGTTTGCTTGCTCATGGCTCGTCTCTTACCGCCCAGACTAATTTTATCTCGGTCCTGGCTCGTTTGTTACAGGTCAAAATACTGAAAATATCAATTTTATTAAAAAAGCAATGGGTAATTAAAGTCAAAATATCGCCTCGTATGGTCCAAAACTCGTTCCATCATGAGTTGTTGAAAAAAGAAGGAAACAATGTTCACCTAACATTCAAACCATTTTACGATGACTTTTTGTATTTTTCTCAAAAATTTGTGAGTGCAAGCAGCGAAAATGTTTAATGATTGAACAGTTTTTGTCATTTTCAGAATTAATACAAATAAATTTAGTTTTCTAGTTATGAATGCCGTGCACAAGGTTTTTCCTGACAAATGGTCATCTTGACCTCCCTGAAAAATGATTTTGAAATACTCTTACAGTTACGTTCATTATTTCGCGGAAAGTGAATGCACCATAGGCACGCACCATCATGGCATTAATATCAGGATCATTTGTAGCCGGAAATTTGTGCACCCCCAGGATAAACGAGAAGTCGAGTTATATAATAAGTAAATACTGTAATCGTTTTTTGTTTAAAATTCGAAAACTTGATCAGTTGTAAGACTATTCGTTAATGCGCGTTTTATAGTGCAAAACGGTCTTATTTCTGCGTTGGCCAATTCAAGAATTCAAGCTTTTGGTCAAGTAAACAGGAAGTGTGGAGTGTGTGACAAAACGGAGAGGGACATTTGGAAGAGACACATTCGAGAATCCACTGTTCGCCATCGAGCACTTTGAGTAAGTGCATAAAGGCAATTTTCGTCTTGTGTGCTTTCTTTTAATAACACAAAGAAACTGACTGTTTTGTAGTCTGCTGATACGTCTTTGTTAAAGCGGGGAGGTGTATTAAAAGAGCGAGAATTAGTCAGCGGTAAACTGTGAAAAGGCAGAGCTGTGCAAAGAATTGACACTATTAATTTCAGTAAACCACATACAGTAGTCTGAACCAAAATTTATCTCTTTACAGATATAAATTCAATTGCAAGAAGTAACAGCAAGGTGTCGTCAGATGACTCTGGACAAATAGTCTGGGTAATTACAATCTGTGTTGTGTGTTAAACCAGGAAATCATAATGCTTAAACTTAACTGTTGTGGGAAGAAAGCAATGAGGGCAAGAAATTTTAAAACTGGAAAGAATAGTTTATCATGTGTTTTGATCGCAAGCAGTCAGAAAGTAAAGCTGCGTTTGCAGAGTTTTTTATGGCAACATTAGTTTTGTGTTTCGTTTTCAGTCCCCAAGTTTTGACGGTTACCTGGAAAACGATGCTTTGGATTCAGGTAAATCCTTCTTTTATAGCGGAGCTCCACGCGCGCGGAGCCCCATTGCTAAGAAAAATAGACCTTATTCACGATATCCGCCATCTTTGCACGCGCATAAGGACTGATGAGATAAATGTGATGTCACGTGGTTTCTCAGTGTGCAAACAAGCGATAAAATCTGCAAAATAAAAGAAATCGCGGTTGTGTTTGTTTACTTTAAACAAAAGAAAATGAAGAACTTTTTATCTTAAAGACAATAGTGGCAAATTATGGTTGGACGTGATCGTTGTGTTTTTGAATGCAGTAACGACCGTAGATGTCCTCACAGCAAGCAGTAATGACGTGAAACTTGTCGAAACTTGAACTGTAGATTTTGCAAATTTAAAATTGCCTTATCGTTTTTAGAGGATTAACAAACTCGACCGCGATTACTCGTATTGAGACATTTTATCACTTGTTTGACCCCGGAAATACCACCTGACATTGCTTTCATCCCATCAATCCTAGAGCGCGTGCAAAGATGGCGGGTATCGTGAATAAGGTCTATTTGGTTATCTATACATCCGAAACATTTTCGTTGTGACGTCAGTGTACGCCCACCCGAACATACAGACTCTGGGGAAAAGGGAAGGGAGTTGGAAAACAACCCGACTGGGAGGTGGATAAAGCGGGAAATCGCTCTTCTGGACCATCGGCAGCCCGCGTTTTTATTGGCGGGAAGAAAAACACCAGGACTTAAGAGAAAAAAACAACAACAAAGCCGGGTCTTTCTTTCGACTAAATTTGAATGTCTACATTTACGCGAAAAAGACAGAAGCTAGAGCGAGAAATAAAAAAACAACGGAGATCAATTTCGGTTGAAGAAAAACAGGAAGATTTTATAGCAGCAGTGAGAAAATGAGAAATGCTAGCGGCCACCAAGGTAAAAATGAGCTGCAGCGAAAAAAAAAAGATCAGGAACACATACCACTTTTCCTCCATAAAACGTGTAACTAGGAAGTTAGTGGAAGTTTCACGTTGAAGTCGTGCAAAGCAGCGGCAAAAAAGATATAACAAAAAGTGTGCCGCACGTGCAAAGTTGTTTTTTTGGCCAATTAGACCTATTTTTGTTTTTTGGTTTTTTTAACCGCTCTCGTTTTCGTCACCGTTTCTATAGCATTGTACGATTTCATATTTTGTTTGAGTAAACGATTAATATTAAAGAGAGCTTCTCTTTGAGCCCGGCTAAATCTATATTTTAGACACTAATGTTCAGAGGACAACTGTTTAAATGTCGGTTCAAGTTTATTTACATTGACTTGTATGCCTCCCCTTCAAAACTAGATCCAGATTGGCTGCTTTCACTCGATTTTGATGGAAGTGATCCATCTGCAGTGACACCTACTCCTGAGCTGACTGCTTCATCATCGTATAGTAGTTTCGATAGTATCCCGTCTGTAGCCTCCTTCAATATTGGAATACAAGGGCAAATGAATGATGATCAAAACCAAAAGTCTGAACCACTTAAAGCATTGCATCCACAGGTAAGTAATGCCAACGACATAAACTACTTGAGGGATAGTATTTGTAATCAGGTTAAAGGTGAGCGTATTTTGTGTCTAAAAGCCGCCAATTCAGCAGGCAAACAGTCTTAGAAAAAAATGACTCATTAGACACTCATTGTCAGAGACTGATTGATGGTAACCGTCATAATTGTTGTCGTTTTTTGCTAGTTGTTCTTGTTCTGAAATTGGATGTTTTATAATGTTATCTGTTAACTTAAATATGAGGAATAATTTGTTTCTGTAAAAGGGCATTTTTATCACTGCTGGGATTAAATTTACTCCATGGTATTATTTTCTTTGTCTGATAGGTGCCTCATGGTAACAGTTCTGACTCCGGGCTAGGTTCACACAGTAGCAGTTCTGGCCCCCAATCAACGGATATGTCAGAAAATGAAAGTAGGTTTTATACCTGGATTTAGTTTCTCTTCCCTTTGTGGATGTTGCACTATAAACTCGCCCCAGCTCCTTCACGTAAAATAATCTCTCTTAAATTTTATCAAGAGAGGATAAAGGGGACAGAGAAGGCATCCCCCATACACACCCTATTCTATAGGTAATTTGTCTCGAGTTATTTTGAACACCACAGATCTCAAGGGGGATTAGACAACAGCCAATTACATAGCGCGAATGCGTTCCGCGTGGGTGACCCACGCTCAGAGGCACGCGTCCTTCACGAATTGATGCAGAACAAAATGGCAGAAGACGCGGAGAGCGATATTGCTATTCGTTTTGTCGACGAAAACGACTTCAGAGAGATTTCTGCTAAAGCTGTGTCAGCGAAACGGAAATTAAAAAAGAATCGCCCTTCCTCTCTTGTATAGAGCTAACAGTACAGCAGGAAAATCCTTAACACACTGAATATTCTCTCAGTTACAGTTTGAAGAGACCAATTTCTGGTTTGATATTTATTCTTTTATTAGTCTTTTATTATTCAACAAAAATAACAATTGGCGTCCTACTTGCTTTATTGTACAGACGACCGGTTTCAATAGACTGGCGAAATTTTTCATTTTATTAAAGCACTGAGATTACGACAACTTCGAGTTAAACTGATTTCACGGGTTGTCAAAGAGTCCAGCGATTCCCTTTTCCCAGGTGAGCGCCGACTCTTGTCGCGTCAATATTCAGGAATGCTCTCGATCTCTTTACGCTTTCGTTGCCTTTCGCCTGACATGTTTTGCACGGCGTTTAGTCATGCGAAACCTCCACGAAACATCCACGCAGCGCGCGAGGTAACTTTATCCCGATTCTAAAAATAACTCGAGACGAATTACCTATGGAGTAGGGTGTGTCTGGGGGATACCTTCTCTGTCTTCTTTATCCTCTCTTGATTTTATACGATGAAAGGAGGAAGGTTAACCCTATTTTAAATAAATTGGTGTTTTTACTCATGCTGAGTACACGAAAAATATATTTTAAGGAGAACAAAATCTGGAGAGTGAAAGTTTTATTATTTAGATATGAATGATATGGAAGTCTGCATTTGGTAACAGAGGAGTATGAGATAATTTTATAGCGGTCCAATTTCTTACTTCATTTACAACATCGGGGAACTTCAGGGGACTTTCACTGAAAAATACAAGCTCAGAAAATCAAACGGGCTCTAGGTTTAAGTATCATTTATTAACAGCTTTTGCTTATATAGCGGCAATAAGAATGTGTGACCGATGTCTAAGTTTTGAACATTTCGGCAGCAAATTAGTTTAAAAAAAGCACTTAGAATAATTGGCAGGCATGGCAAGAATAAGCACAGTGACCCCATCTTTGTGTTTGAGTTTTTCAATGTTCTATACATAACTTTAATTTTGTCAAGTATGATAAGGTTTCAACGGACTGGAATTACCTTAAGAACACACAACGTACATACATACATACATACATCCATACATAGTAACATACATGTTTTTTTTTATTTGAGTCTCATACAATAAATAGTATATCAACTATTTCCAAAAAAACTAAAATTACAAACAACAAAAATTCCTGACCATATATGGCTAATAACTTATAATTCCTTAACCTCCTCCCCGCCCCCCATTCTCTATTATATCATAAATTTTACGAACCTTTAATTATTTGGAATGTATTGAAGAAATAGTGAATTGGCTAAAAATTTTATCAACATTTTATTGTAAATTGTACCCAAGTGGAACGTCAAATATTTTATATTTTAGCAGCTTAAAATGTTTCTGTGACAGAGGCTCATTTATCAGTGTTTTTTCCTTCACGATGCAGATAACGCTGTCGTGGACCACGCGATCATTGAGATATTTCCTGATGTAGTAGGTTTGCGGGTATGTTAAAGGGTCATATTTTCCATATTTTAACTCTGATAAGTTAAAATTTCTCGTTATCTGACATCGAAATTGATATTTGTCAGATTTAACCTAAAACAGTAGACTGTTGGCCTACTTAATGAGAAATTCATAATTATTTATAATCTTGGCGCCTAACTTTTTAAAATATTTTTGTAAGGGTGCGCCTTCTTGTGAATTCCCTGGGTTGGCAGAACGCTTCCCGGAGGTTCAGTCAGGATATTATACCGTTGAAGGTGTAAAAGAAGAATTCTGCTGGGAAAAAGGCGATAAAGACGGGAAAGGAGATTGCATTCCACGTAAGTTTTGTAATATACGTTATGTTGCCACGTCCGCTTGCTTTATTCGAGTAAATGGCGTACCATGCGTCGAATTACTTCACTACTAAAACAAAAGTAATCTTTAGTCCGGTTGGACTACAGCAGTACATTTCATAAACAAAAGACGATGTCAGTCAATGCCAGGTTGTGGATAGATATATTACATTAAAAAACGCAAAAGCAAAACCTCATCAACCCTTGACTTTAAAGAAAGTTACCAATTTGTTTCAAATTTGCCTTTTTCTATATAAAATAGTTACCTTTACCAAATTTAGCACGAAACAGGATTAAAAAAAAAAAGAAAGAAAGAAATTCCCATGTTCAATTTTAATGATTTTTGTTTGATAACTGGGATCAAAGTAACACAATAATTTTTGTTCATTTTCCCATTTCCCATTTTTTTAATGATTTTTGTTTGATAACTGGGATCAAAGTAACACAATAATTTTTGTTCATTTTCCCATTTCCCATTTTTTAATGATTTTTGTTTGATAACTGGGATCAAAGTAACACAATAATTTTTGTTCATTTTCCCATTTCCCATTTTTTTAATGATTTTTGTTTGATAACTGGGATCAAAGTAACACAATAATTTTTGTTCATTTTCCCATTTCCCATTTTTTTAATGATTTTTGTTTGATAACTGGGATCAAAGTAACACAATAATTTTTGTTCATTTTCCCATTTCCCATTTTTTTAATGATTTTTGTTTGATAACCGGGATCAACGTAACACAATAATTTTTGTTCATTTTCCCGTTTAGCCTCGACGGAAGAGGGAGAAAAAACTGTGATAATCTGGTCACTGTCACGTGAAAAAATGGGAGAAGCGAAGCTATTGTACGTAGATCGCCGTAAACACAAAAAGGAAGAGCATCTCAAAACATACGTTAGAAAAGTAACCCAGCAGATAGAAGATTTAGCTATCTCTTTAAGAGACCAAGCTGATCAAAGCGAAAATGATGGAACGCAACATTCAGAGATTTTTGGTACGTTTTTGTTCTTGTTTTTATTGTTTTTTTAATTAATTTGTTTTTGTTCTCTTCGTATCTTAGTTAGCTGCTGGTTACAGATAGGTGCAGAAGTACAGCAACAATAACAATAATAATAATGATAATAACGATATAATTATGATAAAAATCTTTAAACAATTTGGAGTAAATAAATTGTTACTGCGATTGAGTTTCCACGTCAGAATGTACCGATATACTGAGCTACACTAAGCTGAAGCTAAAAATAATGTTGAAAATCTAACAATGGTGTTTTCCTGCATGGTACATGTTTGTTTTTAAGTTTGTTTTTAACCCGCTTATTCTTCGCTTATTCCAGGTGTTTGCGCCATAACATCTTTATTCGTTCTTTTAGGATCCTCGCGGAAAGTTCAGGTGTTACGGCTTTTGACCCATAAAGCAGCACAATGTGTCTTTCAGTGGGACAGTTTCCCATTATCGGAATTGTCTATTATGATGCACGACCTCAAGAACGCTGCCATTAACCTTGAAAAGATAACTGATAGGTAAAAGTAAATTACTTTTTTCTTTCGCCACGTAAGTGAAGAGTGTATTGACTTTGGATGTGACTTTTTTTTAATTAAAAAAGGTGATATCCGCACCTGTTTAAGGTAGCTGAACACAGTTTTTTGGGCGGTCAGCGGTAACTCGCGTGACGGAGCGTGTTTTAAATTAGACAAACAAACATGGCGGCGAAAAAGCAGTGGTACAGAGAAGACGATTTCTCAAAATCTTAGCCTACGAACGCCAGACGTTTCTCCTCGCTCATCGCCGCTGAGGGACGTTTCGCGAGGAGGAACGTCTGCGACTCAGCGACAGAAATTTCATACTGATGCCACAAAATCTGTCCGGAATCCGGTCAGAAGCGCTAATTGGTCGACGGAGTAGTTTCATTGTTCTAGCTATTGTTTACGAATGACAGACAAAAGACAAAAGGCGGCAAAGGTCAAATGTAGACGCGATGAATCTCTAACAAAACAGTCAACATGTGTGGAATATAGTCTTCTCTAGAAGAAACATTTGAGTTTTGCCGGAGCTCATTCGCAGATGAACACAACACTTTTCCAAAATCGACCAGGAGAAACGTAAAATTGAACAAATTTGCATTTGGAACCCCATGACTACCGGATTTGTTATGTAAACATTGATTTACGTCATCAGTATGAAATTTCTGTCGCTGAGTCGCAGACGTTCCTCCTCGCGAAACGTCCCTTAGCGGCGATGAGCGAGGGGAAAATTTTCTGATATTTGGCAGAATTTTTACTTTTATTGTATTTTAAATAATGAGAACTTTAAAATGGAAGTTGAACAGACGAATTTTGTGATACATTTAATAATTACAGTACAATTATATTATTGATTATCTAAAAACCCGTCTGTTAAAATTTGGTCAAATAAGTTTCGAATGGTAATGATTAGCTATAGTAAGGTGTGTGCAAGTTTATAGGAAAATCTAATGAGCGAATTTTATGTAAACTGTGCAAAAGTGGAATTTTAGGGTTGTATTCAATCGTTCATGTTGCCATGGAAACTACGAAAACGTCAAATTTTACCTGTCAATCAAACTCTTTCATCAGTATATTTTTCACTTGCCAAGTTTCAGCTAGTGAGCTGCAACCTTTCTCTTGCCAAGATTTGGCACATGAATACACTCACTAACTGCCAAAACTGTGTTCAGCCACCTTAATAAGGTGTTTTGAGGAGCATTGCTTTGCTCCTCATTGTATCAGCTCAAATAGGGACAAAAGGCATAAACTCTCGTGTAACCCTAGGGGGCACATGGTCCAAACTAAGGCTTAGTTCATATGATTAACAATTTTCAGACATGGCTTGCCTTAGCTAAATATGCAGATCAAAGAGGGTGTTATCCGCCGAGGCAAACACCCTCCGAGGTCTGCATAATTATTCATATCATACGAAAGCTGAAATTTAGGATAATTCACGTCTCGCCTCCCACGCCCTACGAGCGTGTGAGACTCGCGCGCTTGTTGGCGCGCGTGAGACTCTTACGCCACGCTTTAACGATTTCTTTACTGATTTTGAGAAAAAAAACCCACTGTTTTGCAGTCTAGCACAGTCGAGGCTTTTCTATTTGTTTTATAATAAAGAATCAGTAAATTCCCCATGCATTACCCTCTAATTTTCAAAACAAACCATCAGCAGTTAGCTCCTTGTTTATACTATCATAACAAGTATAAAACACGTTATATCTGAACTTTATTATAAGTGTTTTTACTGCACAGATTTGCCGGAGATATTGCTCCAGAAGGCACCGAGAGTTTTGATTGGTCAGAATTGTTTGAAGTCTTTGATGCACCTCACGAACAAGGTGAGGCTAGTGAGTACCACGGTCTAAACCGTTTTTGAGCTGTTTTGAAAAAATAGCTCATGATATGTCAATGGTGTGAATGTATGTATCTTTGTTGCTTTGTTTCTTTGTATCTTTGTACCTTTGTATGTTCGGATGTTTGTTGCAAGAGCCAATAAGGTTGAAGGTACTATGAGTTGATGCTTAGGAACCAATGAGATCTTGGCATGTATGATATTGCTAAAGGGCAACAAGAGCACAAGAGAACAAGAGAAGAAGAGCACTTTGAGACCCCCATCTTGATTCTTCACAATTTTTTCGCCTTTTATCACGGCTACAGGTGTTTAGAAGCATTACATTAAATATCTTCATGATTCAAACGCTGTGTACAGTGATGCAGCTGTTTAAGGGTTCATATTTTAGTGTGGATGCTGCTATCGCGAACGGTACAACGCACGTATTTATGAGTTCTGTTTCACCTGCTACAACTGGGTATAGTATAAAAGATCATATATTTTCAAAGCTCTTCCAATGAAACAATAATTGATATTTCGATATGGACTTTAATTCGAAAGTATATATGCGGCCTATAAATTGTGGTTTTAGATGTTGGAAAGGCAAATTTGGAGCAAATCATCTGCAAATGCCACATTTGCTTAATTTTGCTCAATTTTGCCACATGACATAGGACCAATTTTGCCATAATTTTGCATTAGTGGCAAAGGTGGTAAATGCCGAATTTGCCTCAAATTTGCCCCGTGTGTAAAAACAAGGATAACCTTTACTTTATCAAGGCATTTACAGGGGTGTCAAACTTGATAGCAAAACTGACATTTGTCAGGTTTTTGCCCAAATGGGCAAAAGCGATCGAAGATGAATTTTTGAATGCTTTTGCTCTCTATAGCAAATTCGGTCAAAGTAGTAATTTGCCACATTTTTGCTCAATGTAGCAAAAGTGACCAAAACTCATTTTTCAACAGTTTTGCCCAGGATAGTAAATCTGAGCAAAAATTCACCTTATTTGTGTATCGCCCAGTGTAGTAAATGAGGTCAAATTATCACTTCTTCCGTATCTTTGCTCAGTGTGGCAAATATGATCAAAATAGGCGTTTGCCACTGTTTGCTCAGGGTAGCAAATTTGGCCAAATACCACTTTATTCTCAATTTTGCTCAGGATGGCAGATATGATCAAAACAGTAGTTTCCCATACTTTTCCCCATTGTAGCAAAGTTGATCAAATATCAGTTCTTCTGTATCTTTGCTCAGGATGGCAAATATTGCCATGATAGCAGTTTTCCATACTTTAAGTAAGGTAAACAAAGTTGATTAAAATATCACTTTTTTACACTTTCGCTCAAGATAGCAAATTTGATCAAAACATTATCCACATGTTTCTTATTTTTATTTGGTACCATAAATGACTGACAAACAATTTAGACACCAAACAAAATTTCAAGAATAAAATGACTTTATTATCTTTAATATACACTGTACAATAAAAAGCAAGATAAATTAAAAGAAAGTTCCATTGGCCTCTGCAGGGCACTGCATGTACCACAAAATATATGCCTTTAAATAGAAAGCACATACAATGTGAAACTATCTAAATTCATAAGTGTATAAGAATGTACATTGAGTTTGAAAGTGCAAGTCAACACTAGCTGGTTCATAATTATCTAAGGTTGGTACAGGTAAAACGTAACTCCATTTGAGTGGTATACTTCAAATATACTCTTTCTAGATTCAATTGATACTATTGGCAAATGGTTGTACGATGACAACACGTACACATCACTCCCAATGTAGATGTGACATCCTCACTAATGGACAGAACATCAACCACAGGAAATAAAATTAGCCTCAAATTATTATGATAAGAGATATTCCTCTAATTATTATTTATAAGAACTTGTTTTCATCTGATAAATATTATCCACTACCCAAAATAGGCAGTGAATAATATTATACAGTGTACCTAGTGCTATTCACTTACCCCAAGGGGAGATACATCTGTATGATTCATTTTTAACCTAATCAGTCATATAAAAATATTTCTTGTAAATAAAATGAGTTACTATGCGAAAGCTCTGTGCATTTCTATGATTTGGGTAGGACTTCGATATCACTGATATCACTGTAAATAATATGATTTGGTGAAATTCTTGTATTATTATATGACCATAAATAATTTATTACATTTATTTTTTTTACTAAAATCAAATTATTTGCTAAAAATTTGAACAATTTTTTTCTGATTCACATGATCAGCTGTTTTGCTTGCCATGCTTACCAAAAAACTGTTATCACACACGGTATTTTTTTTTGCATGAAACATAACTGCACTCTTTTTTCATAAAATATGCCAAGAACAAAATAGGATCATGGCATTTGGAGTCCAGTAATTACTCTACTATGGGGTGTATTGGCTAGATTTAGTCCTCGGAGGGGCACTTTTTAAGACAGTGCTTAGGGTAGCCCTAGGATCTGTCACCACTGCGGAAAGTGGATGCAGATGTATCTCCAATTACATATGTTGGGTGAATGGACACGACGACTGAAAATACAGCTGCATTTACAGGCTACTAGATGGAAGGTTTTTAAAATTCAGTAAAGTTGCCAAGTTACAGAGTGATTCGGTGCAAACTACTAAAGACAGCTCTGCAAAGATGGCAAATTTTGCAGACATTTGTCTGGTAAGGGAAAGTTTGTGGCTCCACCATACCATACAAAGGTCATTGAGATTATGTGACTTTGTGTCAACACTTTATTTCAAATCGGACTAATCACAAACAGCGTAAGAACCTAGCCAATCACAAAACGCTGACATACATGCATGTCTTTGTGACCCTGTGGGATTCAAACATGATATTGTGCACTAATTCTCAGACGGCATGCTCTATACAGAAGGTTTAGAGTGTCTGCAACACTGGCAAGATCTTCATTGGATTGTGACAAATCACTTTGAGATTTGGTAATTTACCTAGTTTTAACGTGGCTCCTTCCCATGGGTGTCAAAGGATATTCACTTACTACTAATGTCTTCTTCTTTTCTGAATGTTCTTCAAAAAATTATCTGTGTTATGCTTATGATCAAGTTCCTTTTTCTATTGTAAGTGGTGGGTGCCAGAGCAAACTCAGGAGCATCATCTGGTGCTCCTTTGTTTGATGCTGGTCTCACTGTGTGCTCTATTACCATTATTTT